TTCCTCATACTTAATGCGAGTCGAAAAATAAAGCCATGTGTCAGTTTCCTTACCGAGGATTTTTTGGAAATTTATACACACATTTTGATACCGAACATGGGGCAGTTTCACAAAAGTTCGTAACTTTAAGAGAAAAATTTACTTTAAAAAAAATTTCGAAAAAGATACGAATTATTTACACCGTTTTCACAAAGGTCGACACAAGTTTTTCTAACCCTTTTTCGTATATATGTCACGAATAGTCATATGTGTTCAATAGGATTAAGGTCGGGGCTAAGCGACGGCCAATCCAGGACTTGGACACCGGCATTTCTTAAAAAATTATGGGTAGCAATTGCTGTATGGGGTCGAGCATTGTCTTGTTGAAACGTTAGTCCATGCCCATGTCTCTGCATAAACGGAAGAACAGGTTGCAAAATCGGATCCCTGTACTGGACAGCATTTAAGTTCCCTTGGACAACAACAAGGGGAGAACGTCCATGTGCACAAAAAGAACCCCAAACCATGACGCTGCCGCCACCAAATCGGTCAACTTCTCTGACGCATACTTGAGCGTAACGTTCACCTCGTCTGCGGTACACTCGGACTCTGCCATCGGCAAATCTCAAAGTGAATCGAGATTCGTCACTAAAGACAATCGAATTCCACTGTCTTTGAGTAAATCGTCTGTGTCGGTTACGGCGATGAAGAGGTGTCAATATTGGTCCATTATAGGGCCTCCGAGCTCGAAGACCAGCAGCCTGCAAGCGATTTCGAACAGTTTGTGCAGTTACCCTTCCACCAAACATCTCTCTACTTGTGGAGGTTGTAGTGACAAATCTGTTTCTAAGATGACGTAATCGTATTGCTTGATCTTCCTGGAGTGACGTCACACGTGACGCTCCCGCCCTTGGGGGTCGGCAATAGTTCCAGTTTGAAGCACTCTCATTCTAAGATTAATTATTGTCTGGCGTGAACAATTAAAGGCTCTTGCAACGGTGACCACAGACTGACCAGCATACATTTGAAAGGCGCGGCATTTTCGAACAAAGCTGAAAATAACAATTTTAATTTTTTTTTCCAGTTTAAGTTACGTGTGCGTGTTCAGTTTAAGCAAACTTGCATCTATTGACCTCACGAATTTGTGTTTGCAACTAATTTACATTTTGTCTGTTTGTATACTCGCCAGGCAGATAGAAACATATACATGTAAATTAGTCAAGTGGCTCCCAAATTAAACCAAATCGGATAAAAATTGTGAGCTCTACAGAGAGAGAGAGAGAGAGAGAGAGAGAGAGAGAGAGAGAGAGAGAGAGATTGGGTTTAACGTCCACTCGACACAAACTAGGTCATTTCGGGACTAACATATGGTTTAATTTTATTTCAATAATTCGCTTGCGCGTAGGGGTCTTTAGCAGTGGGGGGAAACCGGAGGACCCGCAGAAAACCAACGAGATTGGACAGGCGACCCTACTCCTTGCCACGTACAACTGGGGATTCGAAACCACGCCAGTTGACTCAGGCTTTACGATACAGCACGCACGTGCTAACCATTCGGCCATCCAACCCCTCATGTGACCTCTACAGTGGTCACAAGCTAAAAACGTGATTTTTCGTACAATCAGGAGCCATAATCCATGGCGTTACAGTCCGATACATGCCAATATCGAAAGGAACCGGGATCTTAGGGTGATAAACTTATATTTCAAGTTTCATTGAAATCGGATAAAAATTGTGACCTGTAGACTGTTCACAAACAATTGTGGACGGACGGACGGACGGGGGCGGCGACAATATACGTCCACATGAAAATATGGGCGTATAAAAAATATGATGACCAACTAAGACAACTGACCACACAATTAACATAACATAATCTGCTTTTTACTAGGAATAACAGCCTCAGTTATTGTAATCATTCAAGTGATATGTAATTATTGCAATATTTCATTTGTTCATTATTCATTCATTCATTTAAACATTTCTATTATTCTTATGTTTCTATTAATCCTTCGTTATTAATGAGACGTTAAGTTACATATCTAATGGCAGACAGTTGACACATTAATGAGTTTAATTATTATCTGTAATGTAATGTCTTTTATATTTTAATCTTTCCTCTTTAATTGATATTAGTAACATTGGTGTATGTTGTTAATTCCTAAGATACCATTTTATCATAAATACCGATTTGTACATTGACAAAAATTCTAGGTTTCATCCCGTTTCCAAGACAGTTACTCTGCTTGTCGGACGTGCTGTTCTCCGTATGTGATGTTAAATGTTTTCCAGTAATAAATAGTCTCAAGGTAGTTCCAGTCTTTAGTTATTATGGAAAATTTATACTGTTACAATATGAACTAAAAAAAACATACCGGTCTGTTTATAGCAATTCTCTCCCTCTCTCTCTGGGCATTTTTTTTTTGTGGCGGGGGGGGGGGGGGTTAAATTAATTTCCTGTCAGGTTTTAGTAAATATTTATGAATTAGAGGCGGAAGGATAACACAGTCAACAGGTTGTTTACGGTGATATGTACGGCGAACATGTTTTTAGTTTGGGTATCTCAAAATTTTGGTGGTCAACCTCATACAAAATCTGGTACAAAGACATGACCAGCGAAACGAAAATTTGGGGAAAAATGGGAGGCCGGCAAACCCAAAGAGACAAAATTAACATTGAAGTCAATGGGGAAATTAATGATGGTCTGCCTATTACGGAGTTCAGAGTATCGCCCCCTTTAATGACCATAACCTTTTAGATTGATCGCGTATTTTATTAATTCCGTTCTAGTCTGCATTTTGTTTCCCGCACGCAAATGAGGTTCTGGAAGTTCCCATATAAGGTATATGTTTTATTATGCAAAGTGACAAATAAATTTGTCTATCATGCAAAATTCAGAATGGAGAAGTGTAATGTGCAAAACAACCAATACACTAGTTTTAATGGTAAGTGATCGTTAGGTCACTCATAAAATTTCCCGAATGAGTTACCAATCTATCACTGTTTAAGCGGGAGACACACTTGGCGATTCACAAGTTGATTGCATCACCTTCCACGTGAGAAGTCACATAGTTCATCGGGATTTGCCGACGTGGTTTCCTCTGGTCAGTGATGCAGGACGGACGGTCTGACAAGGATAGCTGTCTGGTCTTTCGCATGGAACGAAAAACCGAGGCCCTGTATATATATTGGCGTGCACGTAAAAGATCATTTGGCAGTTGGAATACGATATAGTGCCGCTGCCCGGGCAAAATTTCCCACACAGAACACTGAATGACGTATGCACGTCTTCATTAGCCCAGTATAGGAGCAGACCAGTAGAATGTTAAACCCCATTTTATTTCAGATAAGCCACATGATTAAACATGGCAGCCACCAAGAAAAAGAAAAAAATAGCTGCAGCGGCGGGAATTTTTATCGCCCCTGTCCGTCTGTGTGTGTTTGTGGGTCGCCTGCAGGGCGCAATTCTTAATGGATTGTCTTGAAACTTTGTATACGTATTTCCATACCCCAAGGATGATCCCTATTGTTTTTGGTGCATGCCCCACTCTCAGGGACTGAGCCACACCCATTTTTAAAAATTTGTTTGATGGGCATCAACAGGACGTATTTCTTAACGGATCATCTTGAAATTTTGCATACTTATTCCTTATACCCTAAGAATCACTCCCTATTGTTTTGGTGCATGCCCAGCCCCCAGGGCAGAGCCACGGCCAGTTCCTAAATGGATCGTCTAAAAACCTCTTATACTTATTCCTTATACCCTAAGCATGACCTCTATTATTCTTGGTGCATGCCCGACCCCTGGGACAGAGCCACGTCCAATTTTGTGTGTGTCTTTGTGTCGGCTATAGGCCACAATTGTTAACAGATCCTTTTGAAACTGCATATCTCTTCCTTGTACACTAAAGATCATCCCTATTGTTTCTGGTGAATGCTCGACACCCAGGGGTTAAGCCATCATCCCTATTGTTTCTGGTGAATGCTCGACACCCAGGGGCTAAGCCACACCCATTTTTTCTTTGTGTGTCTGTGTTGCCTACAGGCCACAATTGTTAATGGTTCGTCTTGGAACTGATGTATTCCTTATAGCCTAAGGACGGCAAATATCGATTTGGGTGCATGTTCCGATCATCTTGAAACTTTCCTTATAGCCACCCCGACTCCAGAGCCCCGCCCAATTTTTGTGTTATGTGTTTGAACTTTGAAGGCCACAATTCTGAATGGATTATCTTGGAACATGGTATACCTTATATCCTAAGGACCGTAGCTATTGACTTGGTATATTTATTCCTTATTCTGTAAGGTGGCAACACTGGCAACTATTTATTTTGGTGCATGTCCTGACCACCAGAGGTGTCGTACCACACCCACTTTTTTGTCAATTCTTGTCATAAATACTCTACAGGTTGCAATTATCAACAGGTTTTGTTCAAATTCAGCATAATCATTTCAATAACAGGGTTGTACCTATTTATATTGTTCCATATCCAACCCCCAGGGGCAGAGCCACACCCAATTTTTGTTTTTATTGTCTACATGCTGCAATTCTGAATGGATCATCTTGGAACTTTGCATATTATTCCTTATGCCACAACTATTTATTTTGGTGCATGCTCAACCCCCTGGGGTGGTGCCACACCCACTTATTTGTCAATATTTAGTCTGTAAATTTGGCAAAACAAACCCCAATGCCCAACCTTCTTTGCCTCTTGTCATATTACAGTCATTGCAGTCATTTCATATTTCATGCTCTTCATTTTAAAAAAAATACCATATCAATCAAAACAGGAATATTGCAGAGGTAGCGATGCTCTTTTTTAAATTTTACGCCGTATTCGTCTGCTCTCATAAAATAATTGTCACCATTTTGTGCAGGCTCATTTCAAACAACCTCAAAGATTGTTAATGAAAAGGTCAAATTACATGTCTCCATTGCCACCATGGCAGGGGTAAGGGATTTACCAGCACAATCTTCTAAAATGAATTAAGATTGTCCCCTACATTTATGCGAACAAAAGTATTGTAAGATGATTTATTAGCAATCTTATAATTAACAATGGTAATAATTAATTATACAGACAGACAAATGTGAATTATACATGAATTCAATTATACATTTATTTCTTTTTGTCTGGAGAGCCCGATTTGGAGTATACCTGAATTGGTCTACGGAAGCCTAAAAAAAAAAGAAGAAATGCATGGAATGATTAAAATGCATTAAGATAGGTTGCCAACCAACAAAACATACACCCACAACAGCTAAGTCGTCTGGGCAGTCGACAAAGGTTGTCACATATTTATACTTTTACAGATTATAGGAGCATTTACAAGACACTGATACCAATTTCATACAGATCGAATGTTGACAAGGTTCAACAAAGTGAAAAAGGAGCCATAACTGGAGAAGTTATGGACAGAAATTGCTTAAAGTCAATATTAATAACCTCAATAATGCATTTGAATTTAATGACAACTTTTGTCATTAGAGCGTTTAAAAGGGGTTCAACACAGTGAAATAAGGGTCATACCTCTAGAAGTAATTAACCGAAATTGCTGAAATTCAACAGGCATCTTTGTTTTACTAAACTAAATAATTCATATACATGTAAGTCTAAGATAATAATTTATTTAACATTTGAAGTCAAAATAGAAACCTGCATTATGCAGATTTAGCTCTTATAATGCATCTTTAGTGAGATATCTCTACAGTATTAGATAATATTATATGATGTGTTTTTATACCTGGAGTCAGAGAAAGGGTTAGCGAAAGTTAAGAGCAATATTTTAAATTGATGTGTTGTTTGTTTTATACCAGCAGTTGCCAGGCATGATACGCCCACATTTTGCAAGAGATGGATACAGAAGCTAAAAACAAAAGCGATTTTTCGTACAAACGTGGCATAATCCAGAAAGTTATGGTCTGAAATGTGCAAATATCGGTATATATTGTGGCCTCTAGAGGGTCCACATTCTTGATCTACTATATTTTTACACTATTTGCGTTCGAGGGGCACATATTTTGTCCGACGTTTTGGTCCGATTTTCACAAAATTCAAACCCAACCATCATTAGGGTGTAACAGTGATATATTCAAACGTTATTTTTAAATCGGATAAAAATAGTGACCACTAGAGGGACCACAAGCTAAAAACGTAATTTTTTAGTACAATCAAGTGCCATGATTTAGAAGTTACGATTCGATATGCGCGAATATCACAAGGAACCAAGATCTTTGGACCATACGTCAGATCTAAATGGACTGACCAATTTTATCCGAGTTACGCGAAGATCCAAGTTATCCGAAGACCTAGTTCACTCTGAATATAGGTCTCATTATCGCCCTGTACGTTCAGGAACCGTCCTATTAAATCCTTGTCGAAATAAAATCGATTCCCAGTCAATTTTACTGGGCAACTTTTTACTGCTAAACGGTCGTGGTCTGAACGCCTGAACAATGTAAAGGAACATTATAGTGAGAAAATAAGACTTTGCTTACCTCGCTAGAGTCAGTATGTGCTAACACAATATGCTGTTAAAAATCCGTCCCCTTCTTCTAAATGGCTTTGGCGGACGCCATTGAGGTCTAGATGTGGGGTGGCGTATGGATTTGCGTGGCTTGGCCATATAAGACGAAACGAAATTTAGGTAAGCTGGGGTGGGGAAAAATTAGAATCATTGAAAAGCTGAGAAACTTCAGTCAATTATTGCTTTGCCTAGTCCAATTACAATCGAATTTTTTCAAAGATTCCAATTTCGTTTCGTCTTATACTGGCCGAGTTGCGCAAATTTGTGCGCTGCCCTGTATTTGGGTTTCAATGGTGTCAGACAGGCCGTTTGGCGAGGGGGACGTATTTTTAACAGCATGTTGTGAACATACTGCCGATCCGACTTAGGTAAAGGAAAAAAGCCGGAATTAGATCAAATGGACCGAATTGAGCGAAGATCCGACTTAGGAAATCCGACTTACGCGCAGAAATTTAATAAGAAAAACAAGCAGGATCAAAGGGTCCAAACAATTTTATCTGAGTTGACCGAAGATCCGACTAATACGAATCCGACTTTGCGAGGTTTACTGTATTTCAAGTTTCATCAAAATCAGATCAAAATTGTGACCTCTAGAGGGTCCACAACATAGGTTCCACGTCGGCCTTTTATGCCGGTCGGGACCGAGGGCTATGGAAAATGACCGTAACTAGATCTGACCCATCGGTCATTTTGCAAGCTGGAAAAAATACCCAATTTTCAAACATGGCTACGATCGACATCCACTATGTAACTATAAAATTGTACGGCCAGTGCAGAATAATGTGCACGTATAGAAGCCACATAATCTCATGATTGGTGTTATAGAGTTGAATACATTGTCCTCAATAGATTATACTGGGTGTTGTGTTGATAATTAATGATGAGTGTCTGGTAGTAGAACAATAAACGTTAACTGATATTTGGGAATCTTATCAAAGGTCCATTCTTAGTCAATGACGTATTGTCCACGTGTAATAAGAATTTTCTAGAACAAAGCTGTTTACCGCTATTACAGTCACGCACGATGTAAACGAGATTATTATGATCTTTGAAAAGAGGGCAAATACTGCTCTTCGAATCCAACCAACTGTCATATTAAATAAAAACAGCATATAAATTACGAAAATCCTCAACAACGTACAATGTGGGAGAAAAATCCATTATAATTTTTTTTATAGTGTAGTAATATGGAGGGAAAGGATTTGTGCTTTGAAACATCTATGTAAAATAATATTAGGGTTTTGAATATTTTGATTAATTATTCTCCATTGTCAAAATATTAGCTATGGTATAAGTTAATTCTGAAACGCAAATTAAAATTGTTTAGGAATAGTGTGACAATAACCAGACATGAGGTCTAAAGACAAAGAATAGAGAAATATGATGGCTGGAACAATAGCGTTATCTTTCATATTGTTGATTCTAACTTCATAACCAAAAATAGAGAAAGTATGCTGGTTGTTTAGATACGTTAACACAGTTAGAGTTTAGTAAACATGATGGTCATTTGCATTTTTCAAGGATAAATTGTCATTGTTTGAAATACACGTGGTAGGAAAGTTACCATTTCATATTTGGGAAGAGTGACCAATCACATGATTAATTACATCATAATTAGCCAATAGAATAATTAATGGGTGTGAATCTGAGAATATATAATTAATAGAATGTGTGTTTTAGGGTAGACAGCCATGTAGTTCTCGTAGGGAGAAGATGTAGGAATCTCCATCAGCAGACTCGCTGAGTCTGCATGAGAGCGGATTAGAGAGAATGACTTTATTATGCTTGTAACTTTGTAACCTATATGTAGCAGTGCTTAATATAAAATGTAGAAACGAAATGTGGTATTGTTGTTACTGTGTGTAACCATAAACTGAATGTCAGAATAAATACACAATATTTAAAGTGGAGTCCTACGAGAAGAAAATAAGAAACAGATGCGGCCAGAGACAATACTAGGCGATCATGGGCTGTTCCAGAAATGTAGTAAGAAACGATGCATGGGTTATACGTCGGATGTGGCATCCGGGTTTAGCGCTGACCACTCTCCACGAGAGACAAACGACCCATGGTGCTACAATAGCGGTGTTACGGCCTTGTGGGAATTGTAAAATCTAAAGATAAGTTAACTTGCTTCCCGAAAAATTAAGAACATTACGTATTCCAGTGGGGCAGCCATTTTGTCCGGCAGTTTTGGTCTGAATTCCAATACACCATTTTGGTGTAACGGTGATATGATCGAACATTTTTTACATCGGATAATAATTTTGACCTCCAGAGGGACCACAAGCTACAAATGCGGATTTTCGTACAATCAGGGGCCATAATTCAGGAAGTTACGGTCCGATATGTGTGAATATCGAAATGAACCAAGATATTTGGGTTATAAACATGCATTTCAAGTTTCATTATGTAAATTGTGTCCACAAGCTAAAAACGTGATTTTTCGTACAATCAGGGGCCATAATCCATGAAGTTATGGTCCTATACATGCCCATATCGAAAGGAACCAAGATCTTTGGGAGATAGACCTTTATTTCAAATTTCGTCAAAATTTGATAAAAATTGTGACCTGTAGAGTGTCCACAAATAAATTGTGGACGGTCGGATGGATGAACAGGGGCGACAACATAATACGTCCACATGAAAATGTGGTCGTATAATAAGAAGATTATAGGACGATAATATGATGATCAAGGTTTTGATTAACGAAATTATACATCCAGTGTAAACACTCTCACTCAATTAGAACCATTGTGTCTATTGAAGCATCTACACATCAAATTGCTTATCTCGCTGAGCATGAGCAAAAAAATACTCATCATTGAACTCCATCAACAAAATACCTAATAGACACCTACACAAAGTCTGAACATTCTACATCAATTAGAAGCAGATTTGTTGTGTCCTAAAAAGTTGACGAAAAGACAGACCCCTGATTTCTTCATACTGCAGAGGATAATAAAGTCTGTCAACGACTGAATGATATTGAAAGGTTATGACCTACGCATTTGGGGGGGGGGGGGGCTGAATGGTTAGCACGTGCGCGCTGTACCATAATAGTCTGTCATTGAGTCAACTGGCGTGGTTTCGAATCCCCGGTTGTACATGGCAAGGAGTAGGGTCGCCTGTCCAACCTCGTGGGGTTTCTCCGGGTCCCTCCCACTGCTAAAGACCCCTACGCGCAAGCGAATTGTTGAAATAAAATTAAACCATCTGTTAGTCCCGAAATGACCTAGTTTGTGTCGAGTGAACGTTAAACCCCATTTCTCTCTCTCTCACCTACGCATTTTATGTGTCTTCTTTACTCTCTATATAAAAGGAATACGTTTTTGTGTAGAAAACCATCTAGTATTTCATTTTTATTACATGAACTTTTGATACGGCCTACACGTGGACAACAGCATAAATTTGGCTATTTTTTTTCTGCTGTAGCAGTCTGTGATTGCTGCGATTTTTACCACAGTACTTCCGTATGCCGTGGTTAATTTCTAGCACATACTGTATGATCAAGATTATGATTTATAAAATGTTATTAAATGTGGATTACAAAATATATCCCTAAATTTGTCGGCACCGGTAAATGGTTCGTAGTTAAAGGTGATAGCTTACGTCTTTGTTAAATGACGCTATTCTGCCTTTTCTATGCACAGAGTTGAAAATACAACCATCTATTACGACTTAAACTACGATTGAAATCGTGGAGTAATTGTGGTGATCCCATCATACATTGTGGTCAGTTGTGTTATCGTATCGAAACATATGCAAATGTATCTGCACATACCAGATCGCGGACTGAATAAGGACAATCCTATCATAACTCATTGCATGACAGTGGGAGACTAGCATAAGCATTGAGTCTTGCATTATGTTTAAAGGCTCAATACCACTCTTGTTGTAACTGAATAATATGTCCCAATCTTTATTCTGGTCAACAAATTGTACTATTTTACAATATTTCAATTAATTGATGATACAAATTTCATCTTAACACACCTAATTTAAAAAATTGGAAAAATTCAACTAAATGATTTGAAAAGCCAGACGTAAAGCTTTTCAAATGTGACTTGGATTTAAAAATATTTTTGAACCCTTTGGACAAGTAAAATAGGATTTAATGGATAATTTACACACCAGGTAGGACACTAACACATCTAGTACTTAGAATAAGGCTATTTTTTATTTTCTGGAGCTGTCAAGCCAGCAAGAGTGTTATTGTCCCTTTAAATAGTCACAAACACGGCTACTAAAACAAAAGGGCCGAGTGCCAAGCAAGAGAATATGATGATTTGTTCACAATATGAATAATATTTTAAAGGTATTTGCCGAGTCGTTTTGAACAGGTATCGGCTACGCAGGTATCAACAAAATGGCCATGTATTGGCTGATATCTATTTCTACCGATAGGCCACTTATCATCCAATTAACGATGGTGAAATACATAATCAGACCATCACACAGGGTGATTATAAGTACAGAGCATGGTTATTTGAGATTCAGGAGATTTGCTTGGAAATATGAAGAACGAACAATAAACAGGCTCCCATAGAAATTAATCTCTGTGAAATTTGTTTGGAGATTTAACTCTACAGATCCCAATTTATTTATTAATAAAACTTTAATCTCTTATAAAATCAGTAAGTAAAATATAGTGTCACATTTTCTTTGATTTTATCTTCTACTTTAAGTTTAATTTCACTTGGGTTGTAGCAGTACGGCATTCAATTCTATGTTTATTTTTGGTAAAATCAATTTATCAATCAGTTCTGCTCTTTTAAGATTAGTTTACCAAAACATCTTACACAGACTTTTAAATCATTGTCAACCGAAAGAATATAATCTGCTTAAAGAGCACATAAAGAGACCAAACTAAATTTTAAGTACTTATAGCCAGTGGTAGGGCTGTACGATATTCCCGATATAGTCATTTATCGCGATATGGTATTTTCAGACCCAACTACGATATCATGTGGCCAAAAATCGTAGATATAGTGGTTTATCGAATATCGCCAAAAACTTCATATATCGAAACAAATTATCATAAAAATAGATAATAAATACACTATAAAGAAGTGGAAATTGGCCGACGACAATAAACTATAATAAAAATAATGTTTTGAGATTCGTTAAATGTTGAAAACACTTGCGCAGTGTCCGCAGCCGTTTTTCACTGCATCGTGTATGCCTTACTTTTACTTTTGTGTTTAGTCGACAATAAATTGTCAGTTGTTACTACATGTAAAGCTTAGGCCTACTAAACGCCTGAAATTTCCCACTACCGTGGCTAATTACCAGACTATAAATAGTTTGTCATATTTTTAAAAAACGAATATTTTTAGAAAAAACTCTACGGAACTTAATTTCTGAAAGCAAGAATAAAACGATCTATAAATAGATTACTGTCACTGTTAGGCCAGGAATACCGCAGCCAAGCGAATGCGTGAATGGAAGATAGTCCGCATCTACTTACTTCCGCTGCAGGTGATATTTGAGAATTTTGAGAGATGGATAGAGAACAAGCTAACAAGAAAGTGATTTTTCCTACTATCAAGAGCCATAATTCAGGAAATTACAATTCAATATGCGAGAATATCGAAAGGAAGTGAAATCTTTGTGTGATAAACTTACATTTCAAGTTTCAACCTTGATATACCATATTTTTACGCTATTTGAGAACGAACGGCGGCCATTTTGTCTGTCAATTTTGGGCCGATTTTCACGAAATTCGAACTCAACCTTCCTTAGGGTGTAACGGTGATATAATAATACGTTTTTTTTAAATCGGATAAAACTTATGACCTCTATAGGGTCCACAAGCTAAAAACGCGATTTTTCATACAATCAGGGGCCATAATTCAGGAAGTTACAACATTGATCTATATATATATATTTGTGACTGTCGTTTGTCTGTCTGTCTGTCTGTCTGTTCGGGGTTGGCGGCTACACTAGGTCTGCCCCGAGTCTGAAATTTGAGGTATAGGGGTAGCTCGGACCGGGGAGTAACATAGGCCAGGTGGCGTTAGTCTACCACTTCCGGTTTCGGTGTTATGACCCCCGAGCGAAGCCGGTCTGTTCTGGGTTGGCGGCTACACTAGGTCTGCCCCGAGTCTGAAATTTGGGGTATAGGGGTAGCTCCGACCAGGGAGTAACATAAGCCAGGTGGCGTCAGTCTACCACTTCCGGTTTCGGAGTTATGACCCCCGAGCGAAGCCGGGTATCCTGCTAGTATACCATATTTTTAAGCTATTTGAGAACGAACGGCGGCCATTTTGTCTGTCAATTTTGGGCCGATTTTCACGTTATTTAAGCAGATGAATTCGTACCATAATTAAAAGTCACATGTCAAAATATTCAAATCCCGTACGTAATAAAAATAGGTGAACCTCGCTATTTTTCATATTTAATTCCCGTACAGTATTCAATTCATACCACAATTAAAAACCACATGTCAACAAAATATTCAAATCCCGTACGTAATAAAAATTGGTGACCTCGCTATTTTTCACACTTAATTCCCGTACGGCATTCAAATTTATGTCAGTAAATGTCCTACAAAATTAAGCATTTTCGTGATATGTTGAATGAAAGCTTGCCGATCCTGCTTCGGCATCCAATTCACAACCATAATATTCCTTTAGAATTACGTGTCTTCGTTTATACGGCAGCAAATGGACTAAGACTAGTAATTATTTCCCCTTATTTCATGATGGACGAATGTAGTGCGAGTTATAAATAGACAATTTTTCCCTTAATTTTTTTCTCCCCTCTTCCTGCATTTTTGGGTTGACTTTTTGGTCTAGAATTGGAGAAAATACTGGGTAATACTGATGATATTACAGCGGAGGGATAGGGGGTGTAAAGTGTCTTTCTGCAGAGCAATCATTGTGTCGGAAGTGAGATTTTCACCCCTGTCAACTTCAAATCCGTGTAGCAAAAAATCTAAACAGTTAACCCCCTACAAAATTATGATGAGGAGATTGCCAAATGTTGTCCCCATTGTGCCTATAAAGATTGGAACCAACGGAATGTTGAGCAAAAAGCTGCAGCCTGTGATGTTACAGTCATTTAACATTGAAGTCAATGGGAAAATAATTGCTAGTCTAATTCCTGATGATATAAAGAAGCATGGCCGACTCGGGATGTTGATATTTTTTCAAGGGCTTATTTCCTGAAGTTTTGAATGGAAAGTGTCAGAAATGGTAAGAATACTGCTTTTTTATTGCCCAGCAGTAAGTTTTTTGACTATTTGGTATCAAAATAGCAATGATTGGGGGTATCCGTTGGTTGAGTATGAATTTTGGGTTGTAATTGTGTAACATTTTGTTCACAATATCAAAACATGGTTAGGTTTAAATATTAAGGCCAACTCAACTGCAGATTTGGTCTAAAGTCACGAGATGTAAACAAGACTGACCCTAACCCAAGACCCAGTCCTTACCCTAACCCTAACCCACAATCTTGTGTGTCAAAAAATCATGTGCCCTAACCCTATTTACATGTTGTGACCTTGAACCAAGTCTGCAGTTGGCCTTAACATTTAGACCTAACATGTTTTTTACATCATACAATGACATGTTAACATGTACACTCCAAAATTCACACCTGTGTGACTTTTGACCAAACATGCAGTTGGCCTTAATATTTAGACCGAACCTCAAAACATGGCATCTACCTTTGAGATTGGCTTAGACTTATGTGACACTCAAGGTTTACTTTTTTACTGATTGTTAACTGGTTTCTTTTTGGAGGGCCAGTGACGGGCTGTTCGCGAGAAATAAAGAGGTTTATTTCTATTTCCAGTTGAAACCATATTTTTTTCTTATTTTCTCACTGTTTTTTATTGCATATTTATCCCCAGCCTCCTATCATTTCAGGTGCCAGGGCAATGTTTCATAGAGTGGAATGATTGACCTCAACACAAGTATTAAAAAAAAGAAGCAAAACAGGTGAGATAAATGTGCATTTCATACACTTTAAGAAGTACATCCGACCTCATCCCCACTTCTGCTCACTAATAGTAATGGGCTGGAAATTTGGTACTGCACAGGCCTGTCTTCTCCCCTTGACATTTAACTGAATGACAGAATTCCACATTTTGACCATTTTCTGGATGTCAATGACCATTTCCCTGGATAGTATTCGCCCAGAATTCTCATTCTCATCCAAATTTAACATTTCAGGTCTACATCTCAAAACCTGATCTCTTCCTGGACTGGCTTTAGGAGAACGATGATGCATATCAATTTCATCCCTGATCTCTATGACACCTGTGGTGGAAGTGGAGGGCAAATCGTAATCAGTTTGGGTTCCAGCCCTGAGGACCTCTGTAAACTTTGCTTTTTGGTGATGACTTAATTTCCGAGCTTGAAAAGGACGCTTGTGTATTTATCATGGCCTCTCATATTGGAAGATAACATTAATGGCTTGTGTGTTGATCGACGGTTGTGCATATCTCTTGGTCAGGAAAGCTGTAGGCACCATCGCCATTGTAAATCATTTGACAGGCCCGAGTGAACGTGGCGACCTATGATTGGTCAGCAATGTATCAGATTCCATACCAGGGGGTGGGGATGAAAAAACTGTTGTAGTGTTACATAATCAGATTATTTCAACTTACTTATCCTGTGGAAATACAGCTACATAGGAGATATTTTGAAATTCATAGGCACTGCATGTTCCAACATTTTAGATTTGACCACAATTTGGCACTTGAAACTATGTTAACAGAGAAAAACTGTGTGGTTTTCGATGAAAGTGTTAAAAGTCTAATATTGCATCATGATAACTGTTTTAAAGTATTTTCGTGTTTGATTTATATTGAATTCATCTCATCTTTTTGAAGAATGCATTTATGTTCAAAAATAAAAATGTTCTGTGGAATTCAAAATTCATGTGCTTTTAAATTATCAGATTCCAAACTGGGGGGTGGGGATGAAAAAGCTGTTGTAGTGTTACATAATCAGATTATTTCAACTTACTTATCCTATGGAAATACAGCTATATAGGAGATATTTTAAAATTGATAGGCACTGCATGTTTCAACATTTTAGATTTGACCACAATTTGGCACTTGAAACTACGTTAACAGAGAAAAACTGTGTGGTTTTCGATGAAAGTGTTAAAAAGTCTAATATTGCATCATGATTACTGTTTTAAAGTATTTTCGTGTTTGATTTATATTGAATTTATCTCATCTTTTTACAGAATGCATTTATGTTCAAAAATAAAAATGTTCTGTTTAATTCAAAATTCATGTGCTTTTAAATTTCTGTCTGAAATTCCGCAGTTTTCTGATGTATTATAGTGTTTTCAGAATGCCGCACAGCTCATCTGAAAATGCATAGATTTTCATATTCTTTGGCCAGGGAATTGCATATATGTTTGTTTATTAGATAACAACAGATTTGTTTAAACTGCAGAAACATGTGAGGTATATAGGACTAAGACTAGTAATTATTTCCCCTTATTTCATGATGGATGAATGTAGTGCGAGTTATAAATAGACAATTTTTCCCTTAATTTTTTTCTCCCCTCTTCCTGCATTTTTGGGTTGACTTTTTGGTCTAGAATTGGAGAAAAGGGATCAAATTTGCAATTTCATAGCAGTTTTGGGTAATACTGATGATATTACAGCGGAGGAATAGGGGGTGTAAAGTGTCTTTCTGCAGAGCAATCATTGTGTCGGAAGTGAGATTTTCACCCCTGTCAACTTCAAATCCGTGTAGCAAAAAATCTAAACGGTCAACCCCCTACAAAATTATGATGAGGAGATTGCCAAATGTTGTCCCCATTGTGCTTATAAAGATTGGAACCAACGGAATGTTGAGCAAAAAGCTACAGCCTGTGATGATACAGTCATTTAACATTGAAGTCAATGGGCAAATAATTGCTAGTCTGAGTCCAAATGAATGCAGAACTTCCGAAATAGTTAAATCACTTGTAAACAGGCATAGCTAACTTCAGCGAATAACACTCTTTCATAGTCACGACAGAGTGACAGGCATCATAGGCAACACAGCAGAATGATTGACGCCTACAAATACGTTAGAATTTCTGCTCATATAGCTATTGGTAGCCCCTCCCCTTTTTGTTATTTTGCTGGGCGCGTACTAGTCTCGGTCACCCAGAAACTCCTAGTCTTCAACATATTCGTAGAATATTTTTCTGGATAATAGAAACTAATAGCCTACGTGACTCATCACACGGCTTCATAGTAAGCACTGCCTAATAATATGTTAAGCAATATTCGTGCCGCGCTCGAGATCAAGGGAAAGTGCCACCGTGGATGAGAATTTCTATATGGATTCTTAAAAGACGTAAAAGATATCGTAGACAAAATGACTGTCCATTGATTTAGGGTGTTATTTACTTTTACGATATGTGACATCTATGATTAGTTTATTATAGATGATGTCGGCTCACATCAATGCGATTAAGATGCCCGACAAATGAGGTGGATTAAAATTATGATCATTCTTATTGAATTGATGAATAGTCCGACAAAAGGAAAGCAATGACTTCTGTTTAAGATTAGATTGATGAATTGTCCGACAAAGGATTAAGTCAGTCAATCAAGGCAGATTAAGTAGTTAAATCAAGGTAGGTTTATACTATAGACGGTATAACACGATAAATACGTTGATCACTTAATTACCTAATAAACCCAGCGTATTATCAACGATAATCGGGTTGAGTGGTAGTTATACACTCAGTAAACTATATTAATTTCAGAATTTTGAATATTATTCACCATGTCTTGATGTCCGATTGGGCATATTCCCGGTCGGACAATTTTGGGCGTTTGGAAAAAAGATTCGGACAAGTCTGGAATATACAGGCAAAATCCCATCACTGGATTACATACTTGTGACTGGAATACTTTAGAGTGAATTTTAAAATGAAACATTATCTTTGAAGAGTTGTGAAAATTCCAGCTGGACGCGGAACAATCTGTTGTATTTGATATAGGCCTACAGTTAGTCCAGGTAAGTCTTAGTTCGTGCTAATCACTTTGCAAAGTCAAAAAAAAGAATATTGCAAGGTTTGTGTGAACCTATATCTTTGATCTGGCTGGCATACAAAAGATAATTACCTAATCAGCGTTCTTACTCCCACGAGTACTCCTACCATCAAGGTGTTAATTTATGATCCTATGTCTGTGCAACTTTTAGTTAATACACAAATATTATGAGATGCCTCTTCTCAAACAATCTATTGTTCAATTTAGTTGGTTACCAACAAAATTAATTAGTCCAAATTTAGTTGTAGGCCTACTGTTAATTCTAATGTAGTGAGATATTTTTTCCTATTTCATTTTTTTACAGTCTATTTTAGAGGAATGAAGTCAAATCAAGCATCCACATGGAGAAAGACGGTCTCATTCATGCCATACGATGACTAAAGGAATATGATATACAGTTGGCTACTCAAATCAGTAAATGGATCGGTGACAACCTAGTGAATATGAATCACTTTTTCGTTATCTGGCACGAAGCTAAAGGTAAATTTGTTTTACTTGTAGCTTGAGTTTGGATCATCATAAAACATACCATTGACATATCAAACTATGTATCGTGGAAAGTCATTAGAACTGAGTAGTTTCTCAAATAAATGTTAATTATAACATTAGAATTATTACTGTTTCTTCCAGGTTTGAAAACAAAATAGATGGCAGTTGGAAAAGAAAAACACTGTGACATCATCAATCTCTGGATTTTAAGGATAACGAACCATCTCTTTTGGTGTGCAGTAATCAGAGACAAAGACAATTCAGTGCAGTTGCTTCGGAATGAAACATTGTTGTCAAATTACCACAATGAAACCATTTCGTTTTGTAAAAGACGAGAGGAACCGTAGATAACAATTTTACACTCATCTTTTTGTTTTCATACAAAGTGAATTATTGTACAGGTTTACTGTTGGCTTACAATTATCATTATCAAACAAATTCTAAATTGGATCTTAAAATAAATTACCAAACAAATTATTCCACAACCAGTTGTTTTATTTAATTAGGGCATTACGGAATCAGTCAGACGTTAATGAATATACACCCCAGCTGTATATAGGTTATTAAGGAATATGCATTCGGCCACTGTGACGTCACTGGCGTCTGAGGGGATAAGAGTGTTTTCGCTAATTGGCAAAGTTGTTTTTACGGTAGGTCTATATTTGCAATTTTGAGTGAAGATGGCCGATTTAATTTTAATCAGATTGGTGTGAACTTGACTTTAATTGCAAGAAGATCTTATTTTGTCACTTGATGTTCTCTTTAAGGAAACTTATCTTAGAACAAGTCAGTCTTTTCAAAGTCAGATTTTGAGCATTGTTTTTCCATATTTTAGTTTACCATTTACCAAATATTTATACTCAAATTGTTTTAATACTTACTATTAAAGCTGAACTCTGGTTACAAAAATACCGAAATAATTAAATACAAAAAAGTTAACACCCCCAAGCCGCCAAACTTGTTTCCAATTTATGAAATAAATATGGCAGACAAGGAGGCTTATGACCTGGAAAGGTTAGCCTATCTCACTTCCAGTTTGTTTCTTGTCAGCCAGCTGTACACATCCGGTTTTATTCTCTACACACGCTTCACCGATTGCTCTATATTTTCCAAACAGTATACCAAATTATTGAAGATTGCAAAATGTCTGATCAGGTAAGCCTGTAAATAATTATATGAACTGCGTCTACTACAAAATAGCCTAAGCATTACTCTAAAACAAAAGATTCAAAAAGATGGCATACCCCAACCTGAAATGTTCAACCAAAACAAGTCGCCTACACACACTATTGTCTTCATATTATTATTATATGTAGTTATATCCCTTGATCTCATTGTGGAGTGTTTTCGTGAACAATAATACAAGATCGAACATGGCAACCTGTGAAAATCTAATCTTAACTATATGTTTATTGCATAGTATTAGTTATAATTACACTGGACATTATGCTTCTTGGTTATCACAGCAGCTTTAGAAATTACATTTGTTTTATTTTTCAAATTGCTTTATCATTAGCTGTACCGTTAAGAGCGGCATCTTTTGGTTTAGTACAAATAATATCTCTGAAACACTCGGGTTAGACAGGGACATGATACTAGCAGTAGTTTCATTTTACTTTTACAAGTTTCTTAAAACAATTGTTGAGTTGTCTAAAGTGCTAATTTCTAAATTCAATTTCTTGTTCTAGCTTTCTGTTATGTTTCGTAAAAAAGTAGTCTTGATTATCCTGACCTGTCAATCAGACGTAGAATGATTGATAGACTGGTTAAGTGAGACTAATTTCAAAACAAGGGCACGTAACCTATCTTTTACTCAAAAGTGTCTGGATGTTATGGACGACACTTGGAACCAGTTTTCAGTCTATTATTTATAGATGATTAATGGTCATAGGTTATTAAGTAGAACATGATCGTTTATTTAGTGACTATAATTGTGTGAAACTGATTTGAGGCTTGGCATATATATAAATATTGTTGCGTAATTGTCGAGATATTTGGAGATATTTATTTATGGTGGGTCACCCTACAATAGTGTGTGTAGGTAACTTGTTTTGGTTGAAAATTTCAGGTTGGGGTAAGCCATCTTTTTGCATCTTTTGTTTTAGAGTAAAGCTTAGGGTATATTGTAGTAGACGCAGTTCATATAATTAATTACAGGCTTAACTGATCAGACATTTTGCAATCATCAATAATTTGGTATACTGTTGGGAAAATATATATAGAGCAATCGGTGAAGCGTGGGTAGAGAATAAAACTGGATGTGTACAGCTGGCTGACAAGAAACAAACTGGAAGTGAGATCGGCTAACCTTTCCAGGTCATAAGCCTCCATGTCCGCCATATTTATTTCATAAATTGGAAACAAGTATGGCGACTTGGGGGCGTTAACTTTTTTTATTTAATTATTTAGGTATTTTTGTAACCAGAGTTCAGCTTTAATTACAATTGCTATAAGAGTTTATTTGGTTTGGAAACTACTATTTTGAGTTTTTCAATGTTTATTTAGTGTTAATAATACATCATATCACATCCTACCTTTGGCCTTATGATTTGACAGATCAATTACTTCACACTTCAGGAAACCAACTTCTCCCAACAAATATTCTCTAAACTGTTCAGGTTTCAATTTAATACTTCGGAAATTATTCTGTATTGTAGACTGAAAGAAAAATAACAGTCAGTCAATTACTAGGCATTAGTGTCAGAGAGGTCAAATCAATTTTACTATTCGAATATTCCAAGACATTATTTGAATGCCATTCGAAGATTTTAGTACATTTTTAAATTTATTGAAACATCAATATATTTTCCTTTATTTGTTTGTTTATTTTTCAATATAAGATGATTTTATTGAATTAATATCATCAAATATGTCATAAGAGATAAAACAAGTGGTTGCCATACAAGATGCTTCCACATACATGTATCCTAACATAGGTGGAAAACAACCAAAATCAACGGAACTCATCCCCTCTCATTGTCCCAATCGAATTTGAAAATAAATCTGTTAAAAACTATAGCCTCTATCACTTTCACAAATTTTTGGGAAAAAGGCCCAACCCTTCAACAGAAGATCATGGAATGAATATTGATAGGATTTGTACCCGGCAGACAGAGGGATCAATGATGGGAATGATGGGAATCAATAGGTTTCATGTTCACATTCATCACACTAGAAAGTCCACAAACTAAGTTACACATTTTGAGTAAAAGGCAGGAGCCATAACACAAGAAATTGGAGGTCTGATGCACACCAAAATTGAACTCATCCGAGATCTTTTGATCCACAACATATATTTTAAGTTCATCTAAATAGTCAGATAAAAATTATATGAAAATGTGTGCACATAAAAATTGTTTTTAGAATCTACAGAAACTTACTGAAAGATTTTTTCGTTTTTTGTATGATGCCCATGGTTGTGGTTCTAATATCAGTGTTCCACCTGGTCTAAGATGCTTGTAAATTCTTTTAAAAAACAATTTAACACCATCATCACCATTATTTAGATGTATCCACTTGGTTATACTTAAAGCAAGAATTGTATCATATTCTTCTTTCACTAATTTCAGTTGTTCATCACTGCTTAATACATAGTTAGCCTGAAAATGTACACATATTTTATATACAATTTCTATACATGTAAGAAAGATGGGGTGAATTTGAGGACAAACATATGGCACATATTTATTTCAGTAATCCACTTGAGCTCAGGGGGGGTTAACTGTGGGAGGAAACTGGAGAACCCAGAGAAAACCCACAAGGTTAGGTCTTCAACCTTATTCCTTGCCATGAACAAGCCTGTGATTGAAACCACAGACACTAGTTTGACTCAACGAAAAGCAATTAGTGATCTTTCTGGTCCTCACTGCATCATCATTACATGTATCTAAAAAATGTTTACTTCAAAATTTGTAAAAATCACAAAATCACCAAAAATCATCTAACTTGTACTTGTGTCCATTTTAAAGCCGACCATTCAAATTCAATAATGAGCATCCAATTTACAAGTACAAACTAGATGATTAATGCTAAATACACAAGATTAAATGATACCCGGGTTGCCAAAACAATAAGCCTCGAAATTTAAAACAATACATTATTTGTTCAATTCTGTTGTAATTTTTATCTTGTGATAGTAATAAACCAGGGGAACTGGAATATTCTAGTAAATCCTTGTAAAGGGGAATAACTCTTGAATAGAATGTATTTTTGTAAACTGGGACATCAAAGACGCATTAAAGATTGATTTCATACCCAATCAGTGTCATGAATTATTGTCCACCCCTATTTGCAGAGAACAAAAAATTCATAATTTAAAGACATCTTCTGCCAATCATAATACTTCTAAAACACATTAGTTGCCAATCAAACATGAAGATTTTGAATTCAATATGAAAGCAACATGTAAACTGAAATGATCAATATTTCGTCCATTTTTTGGTGTATACATGAACATTTCTAGAAACCATAGATCTCTCAAATCAATATATTTTATGTTATCTGTTAATATTGAGATATTAGTTGATCTCATTGAATTAATATTAGTTAACATTTCAAGGTCAGAGGAGACAAAAATAAGCAGAGAAATTCCATTACAATTAACCAACGCCCATCACTATCTTAACAAGAGCATCGCTAACGCAGCAATATACGTCCACATTCCTGTTTTGTTTGATATGGTCCAGTTTGCATTGAGGGTCTGTGAAATAAAACTGGGTTGTAGGACTGCTATCAGTTTAACGTTTCGTTCACATTAACAGAACACAATTTTTATTTTAAAACAATCGATGTCTTTATTCTAAAAGCATGACGTTTAGAATAGGTATCCCCATTTCAAAAGGATCGGTTAAGAATTGCGGCCTGTAGGCAAAACACAAGACACACAAACATTAGGCGTGACTCTGTCCCAAGGGGTTGAGCATGCACCAAAAATAATAATAGAGGCCAGCCTTAGGATTAAGGAATAAGTGTAAAAACGTAGCCTTAGGCTATAAGGAATAAGTCTAAAAAAAATTTCAAGATGATCGATTAAGAAATGCGGTCTGCAAGTGACACACAGACATAAAAAAAGAAAATGGGCGTAGCTCTGCCCCTGGGGGTTGGGTATTCACCACAACTAATAGGGATGTTCCTTAGGATAGAAGGAATATGTATGCTAAGTTTCAAGGTGATACGATAAGAAATGCGATCTGTAGATGACAAACAAATAAATAAATATAAGGGATGGGCGTGGCTCTACCCCTGGTGGTCGGGCATGCACCAAAAACAATAGGGATCATACTTAGGGTATAAGCAATTCATATGAAAAATTTTCAAGACGATTGATTAAGAATTGTGGCCTGTAGGTGACACACAGACATAAAAAGAAAAGAAAATGGGCGTGGCTCTGCCCCTGGGGGTAAAAAAACAATAGGGGTCATCGTTAGGGTATAAGCAATTCATATGAAAAAATTTCAAGACAATTGATTAAGAATTGTGGTCTGTAGGCGACACACACACATAGAAAAAGAAAATGGGCGTGGCTTTGCCCCTGGGGGGTGGGCATGCACCCAAAACGATAGGGATGTTCCTGAGGGTACAAAGAATAAGTATGCAAAGTTTCAAGATGATACGTTAAGAAATGCGGCCTGTAGACGACAAACAAACAAATACAAAAATGGGCGTGGCTCTGCCCCGGGGAGGCGAGCATGCACTAAAAACAATAGGGATCATCCTTAGGGTATAAGGAATAAATATGTAAAGTTGATACGTTAAGAAATGCGGTCTGTAGATGACAAACAAATAAATAAATATAAGGAATGGGCGTGGCTCTGCCCCTGGGGGTCGGGCATGCACCAAAAACAATAGGGATCTTCCTTGGGGTATAAGGAATAAGTATACCAAGTTTGAAGAAAATCCAGTAAGAATTGCGCCCTGTAGGCGACACAAAGACACACGAAAAGAAAATGGGAAATGGGCGTGGCTCTGCCCCTGGGGGTTGGGCATGTACCCCAAACGATAGGGATGTTCCTTAGGGTACAAAGAATGTGTATGCAAGATTATAAGTTAAGAAATGTGGCCTGTAGACGACAAACAAACAAATACTAGAAATGGGCGTGGCTCTGCCCCTGGGGGTCGGGCATGCACCAAAAACAATAGGGATCTTCCTTGGGGTATAAGGAATAAGTATACCAAGTTTGAAGAAAATCCAGTAAGAATTGCGCCCTGTAGGCGACACAAAAACACACGAAAAGAAAATGGGCGTGGCTCTGCCCCTGGGGGTTGGGCATGCACCCCAAACGATAGGGATGTTCCTTAGGGTACAAAGAATGTGTATGCAAAGTTTCAAGATTATTAGTTAAGAAATGTGGCCTGTAGACGACAAACAAACAAATACTAGAAATGGGCGTGGCTCTGCCCCGGGGGGTCGGGCATGCACCAAAAACAATAGGGATCTTCCTTGGGGTATAAGGAATAAGTATACCAAGTTTGAAGAAAATCCAGTAAGAATTGCGCCCTGTAGGCGAACAACAGACACACACACACACACACACACATACATACATACACACACACACACACACACACAGACAGGGGCGACGGCATAATACGTTCACATTATGAATGTGGACGTATAATAACACATCTGAATAACCCAATTCATTGATTTGACTTTAAACCATGGAATACTTTACCTGTTTAAAGGTGAGATTTTCTGGAAAGGAAATTTCATTCGGCTCAGTCCCCAATGGAGGTGGTGCTAAAGGACCAAATGCCACAGTACTCGAGACAGGATAAGTATGTTTCTGTTGACTGTCTATATAATGTCGGATATTTTTCCTAGCAGCTGATATTAAATTACTGTCAATATCCAAACCGACCATTTTCTTTGGAAGAAAGTTTTTAGCTACTGCCATTGTCACATGACCGACATTACAGCCAATATCCAGCACATCCTTTGCATTAAACCACTCTTGTTTGAAACTGACTAACCGGACATCGTCTACTTCAGGCGTATTCCTGTATCCGTAATACCGATTATAATTTCCATGAATAAATTTTGTATTTGATGCTTTCCTAGCAGGTTTTTGTTTTGTTTCAGCACTTAATATCTTTTCTGGTGTAAGTTTTTTTGAGGAATTTGATGGTTGAATCTTAGGTGATATGGTTTTATCAGTTTTGAGTTTATCATTGTTTATAAGTTCACATGAGCTTACCATGTCCGCGGCACATTCACTCATTGTTCGTCTTCTTCTCCTTGAATTGGCAAATGGAAGGAGAAATGTAGATGCACCACCGATAGGTTCACTCAATACTTTCGATGCCATATCAGAATCTACTTCACAATTAACATCTATTTTGATGGGGGCATCAAATGGCAAAAGATCTTCATTCAGTTCATCTTTTTTCCTGTGTCGATGTCTTTTCCTTCGCTTAGCAAGGCAATTATTTATTTCATTATCGCTCGAATTCAGATTAAGAGGGTCTGTTATGTTAGGTGGGATCACAACTTCAACATTTTTCCTTTGACTATGCCACAGTGGGGATGAAACTGGTGAAAAATGTTTTAATGCATCTAATTGTTCTGATGAGGACAAGCCTTTTAAATTTAATGGATCATCAATTGTTCCACCAAGAAGAAATTTAGTTGGTAATACATACTTATTATCACCTCTCAATACACAACTATAGCTTCTCTTTCTTCTAACGGCATTTTCATAGTTTTTATGATTAAATGAAAATCTGCGTTTTTTTGAAAAAGAATTTGTCCGTAACAAATCCATGTTATTATTAGATATATCGCTAGTTGTCAAGTTGGGTTTTGAACTTCCAGAACTCGCAAACTTCGGTAGATCAGTAGGTTGTGAGGAACCCTGGGCAAAAGAAGGGGGTTTCTCTTCAACAGCCATCTCTGATTGAACAGCTAGATCCATATTTGAAAATTAACCTTTTCGCAATTATATAGGTAAACATTTAGGAAATGTAAGTCAATACCATTATAACATGAGGGTGAACCTGAAAACAGAAAATTAATTAGATTTAAAACCTCACATCAGATTCATTAGCTGTACTTAATAAGTTGAGTGACTATATGCATACAAAAGGGTCTTATATTGGATAGTGAAACAACTGTTTCTGTAAATCCACTAAAAAGACCTTCTGGGCAATACCAAGACAACTGACTAGGAAAGAACTAGTTCATCAGACTTCAAACAATAGACAATAGTCTTAACAGAAATATATTTCTTCGACGGTCATGATCTTAAATAGGCAGCCATCGATTGGAAAACATCCTTATTACGGTGGGAAAATATATTTGATACAGCCAAAACATTAATCTTTCCAGATAAAATGGAACAAAATAATGATATAATTAGACCAACACTCAAGTTGAACTCAGCACTGACCAAAGTATGGTATTTTCCATTAGTGTTCCTTAAATTCCATGAACTAGAAATTGTGGTACTATTTCAGTAACGTACCTCTACCAGTTCCCATGATCGTAGAGACTTGACATTTTCAGGGGGTATTCATGGGGACTAGTCATGACCTCACACCAAATTTCAGCCGAATCGGTCAATAACTTTTTATTTTACCGTAGTTTAGCTTATAACGAGAGAAAGTTTATCCGATTTTGAGGCCATTTTGTTTGTTGGCTATTTAGACTCGAATAACAAGACAGGGTTAGGGTTAGGGCTAGCCCTGTCTACATCTTGAGACTATGACAAAATCTACAGGTCCTAGCCCATACCCTAACCCACAATCCAAATATGACGTCATTCGAGCCTAAATAGTCAACAAACAAAATGGCGTAAAAATCGGATAAATTTATCTCTTATAGAAGCTAAACTACGGTAAAATAAAAAGTTATTGACCGATTCGGCTGAAATTTGGTGTGAGGTCATGGCTAGTCCCCGTGAACACCCCCTGAAAATTTCACTGGTAGAGGTACGTTACTGAAATATACTATTCAAAAAAAGTAGGGGATATTTGATTTTGGGGGCATAATACTAAAATATGCAAATGACTACGAAAAAAGTCACTATAGAACCTAACAGAAGAAACATTTCCAGTTACATGTGACGCCCAAACGCACCAATAGCTACCGCATGGAATGCAGGTGATGCTTGGGATCATCATGGGGGTCCAACCCAAGATTTGCACGACTCTGACTTTGAATGTTACAGTCATTGTGGCCTTGAATTCCAGGGTGGAAACATCAGTTTAATTGTTTTAGTGACCAGAAAACAAATTTTGATATGCGTCGGCTTACCCAAAATGAAAGGTTACGTGCCCTTGGTATGCTACAGATCGGCACAACACAGGCGGTTGTGGCGCGGACGATGAATGTTTCTCAGTCTGTCATAAGCAGGCTATGGTCCAGATACCGTGATACACAATCTGTACAGGACAGACCACGCTCAGGTCGACCAAGGGCGACAACTCAAGCCCAGGATCGATTTATCCGTACCTTGGCCTTGAGAAATCGTGTCATCACAGCAAATCAGATCAGCGCTCGTCTTCAAACAGACACTGGTGTGAGAGGTAGTGGCCAGACGATTCGGAATCGACTGCATAGGGGTCACCTTCGCGCCCTACGTCCTCGCGTGATCCCTTGTTTGAGAGATCATCACATCCAGGCAAGACGTCGTTGGTGTAGGGATCGTCAACACTGGGATAATCGACGCTGGAGCAATGTGATGTTTTCAGATGAGTCAAGATTCACTGTTGATTTTTTGGACAGACGTAGGAGGGTGTGGCGTCGTCGAAACGAGCGCTTCCAAGACGTTAACGTCATCAGACATGATAGATTTGGGGGTGGTTCTGTTATGGTGTGGGGAGGCATCACTGTTGCTGGAAGAACGGCTTTACATGTTGTTGCAGGGCGTGTTACAGGCCAGTACTACCGGGACAACATCTTGGCAGTCCATGTTGTGCCGTTCGCACGACGTCATGGCCGCCGTTTCATCTTCCAGGATGACAACGCAAGATGTCACAGGGCCAGGATCGTTACAGGTTACCTCCAACAACAGAACATCACCACATTACCTTGGCCAGCACTGAGTCCCGACCTCTCCCCCATCGAGCATGTCTGGGACATGCTTGGACAGAGGTTACGTCAACGTCAAGAACGTCCTGCCAATGTCCAAGAACTTGCTGCTGCGTTGCAACAGGAATGGGACAATCTGGACCAAAATGACCTTAGACGTCTCATTAGGAGTATGCCACGTCGGATCAATGCTTGTTTGGCAAACAGAGGAGGATTTACCCGTTACTGACTTGGTTGTGATGCTGTGGTAACTTTGCTGTTTGACCCCGGGTATCATTTTACCCTTATAATGGTCAGTCTGTGCCTTACTTAGTCTAACGATCATTTGGAATAAATCGATGAATGTGAACTTCATTTCATTTTGTCATTTGTTTCTTCGTCAGTTTCATTAGGTGACTTTAATAACACTTAAAAATCCAATATCCCCTACTTTTTTTGAATAGTATAGTACCGAAATTGTAAATTATTGAAAGTTAAGTGTGAGTATCTCCAATATTACTTAGATTTGTCAAAATACAATTTGAACAGGCAAGATGTAATTCATTGTACTTAGTCAAGCCACATCCAACAAGGCATTTTTTCCCCCAAAAGCCCCAAGATTTCCAAAGTATTAAAGGAGGTATGTCGCTAACTCAATATCATCCACAGTCTTCGACATTGCACGACTTATTGATCAATTTAAATCAACATTAATGTTGTTATCTTACTATGTAAAGATGGGCTTCTGATATATCTAATATTTAAGACAAAATAGCAAATTATTCAAATGAGCATTTTAAAATTGACGCACGAATTGTGTGCCAGAATGCTTTCGAGCGACATTTGTAATGAAGCAACACGATGTATGACTTATGAGGCTAAACATATCCCATAGGACAATACTACCCCTGCAGACTGGAATAACCAGATGCCAAAGACTGCCATTCAATTTGGACCCTTCGCGTAAGCTTATTTCGCCAAAAATAACTGATTAGAAATTATACAGTAAAAACAGAAACGATTGAAAGTAAATCAGTTTATATATTCACATTACATTATTATATGCGTTGCGATCCATTTGTCTTGTGTATACTTCTAGGTGTCAAAGATAAGCATACAGATTTAGTTCCTTTAATCATCAATGCCACTATCAAATACAGAAAGTGAGAAAGACAGTAAAATGTACCGGTAGTTTATATTCTACAAAGCTGACACCACTGATTTCAGTCATAACAATTTTACAACTTATCTACTAGGTCGTGTCCCTTTAAAATGTTGATATTAGGCCTTGGCCTCTAGCTCTACACAATTAAAAAACAAAGCCCTAATTATAAATAATAACATTTGTTCATCTGACGAAATTTCCATACATACAATTATAGTTTCTATTCAATGTTCAGTAAAACAAATATTCAATGTCACTAGATCTAATGAGTTTAATACTGAAACCTGGGAATGAGAATAAACATCACGTTGACGCAAATATTCTGGAGAAAACTTCCACAACAACAAATACGTGCTTCTCAGTGCAGCTCGCTGTCGATTATGCAGAGCCTCTGCCAGGCTACACGCTTAGTTCGATTCAGACCAATGTTATCATTCGGTCTCAAACGGAAATGGTTATACGCATGTCTCGGGAGTATAAACCATGGCTAGTGACCAATCGAACGCTAAAAGAGAGCGGTCACAACTATACTAAAATATACTAAAGCCTTCTTTTAACGCTGTACACGATGTGTGTGTGTGTGTGTGTGTGTGTGTGTGTGGGGGGGGGGGGGGGGGTTAGTTGTATTTTACGTCCGCTTCCACCGAGGTGATATCGCAGACAAAGCCGTATAGGTCTACGGGTGACGTCACATCATACGGCGTCGGTAGCACGTGTTATTTACAATCGATATATAATAGTAATACAAACTGGTCACCTTTTACTCATTTTACACCTTCGCGTACTATTTTATGTACCCATTTACATTAAATAGGAAATATTTTTTATTCAGATATAGGCCTACTTACAGCTTTTTTTTTAATAACTTAAAAAATTGTTTAAGAATTTAATTTGAAGAAGAAGAAGAAAAAAAAAAGTGAATATTGACAGCTAATTAACCCGCCCCCTCGTCATCAATCTCAGCAGGCCAAGCGAATATTTACTGCTGATCAGCTTCGTTTCAGTCGTGAAGTCAAGTAACATTTTTTTTTTTTTTTATAAACAATATTTTATTCAGTTTTTCTGAATGAGATTGGGGAACAGGCTTAGCCTATGTAAAACTATGGTGGCTGAAAGCGTCCATTTAGATCGGCGGGTTTCTAGATACAACGCGAGAGTCGCCGTTAAGCCAGCACGACGAAAAAGGCGCCGATCTCGTACTTCCTTATCGGCGACCCGCGACTTTCACAACAAGAGAGTCGCGGTTAAGCCACGCGCCGAAAAAGTCGCCGAAAAAATCGGCGCCTTTTTCGGCGACTTGCTTAACGGCGACTCTCGCCTCGGAAGTTTATAGTTAGTTACATGCGCAATGGCTACATTTTACACACACAGATCACCAAATATTTCTACGCCGTAATGTAGGGCGAAAGTTATTTTTAGTCTTTCTCTCCCTTTCCCTTTTCCCCCTTTTGAATGGCGATTTTTGGTGTAGAATCGAAGAAAGGGGTTTGATAATACATTTTCTGCCAGGTTTTGGTGAATATTCATGATTTTGAGAGGTCGGTTAGGTTGAAATGTAGGGCCGAAAATTGCATGTTTACTTGTCCCTACTTCCAGCTTGTGTATTTCAAGTTTTTCATGGTAAACCTCATACATGCTTTTGTGCAAGAGTTTGCCACATGTTGCTCCATCTGTGGCAGAAAGTAGGCTAGCCTACAAGTCCTAACTCATCCAAAAGCTCCTCCATTTTATATACAAGAAGTAAAATGTAGCCATTGCGCATGTAACTAACTATAAACTTCCAAGGTGAGAGTCGCCGTTAAGCAAGTCGCCGAAAAAGGCGCCGATTTTTTCGGCGACTTTTTCGGCGCGTGGCTTATGGGCGACTCTCGTGTTGTGAAAGTCGCGGGTCGCCGATAAGGTAGTACGACGAAAAAGTCGCCGATCGGCGCCTTTTTCGTCGTGCTGGCTTAACGGCGACTCTCGCGTTGTATCTAGAAACACGCCGATCTAAATGGACGCTTTCAGCCACCATATAAAACCCCTCTCTCTAGATTTTCAGAAGATGAACTAATTCGTGAATTTCATCATGCAGTAAGGTTTGTGACGTCTGTATGAAATAATTCATAGTCGATAAAACAAGAGTACAACGTGAGCTTTTAAAATCGACTTACACAAAATAATACATCAATAATACAGATCATGCAAACAACATACAACAAACACAAAGCAATACATTTACAGCACAAAGGCAATTTTAAAAAGAAAAGCAGTTTAATTAACTAAGCATATTATCAATATTATCATAATATTAAATATCAAGATCAAAGTGACCATTGACCGTAAACGCACACACTGATTTCACACACTTATATTTATTTTATTATTTCTGTGCCCATGTCAACTGATTATAGTGGGCAAGGTTAAAAAAAAACAGCGGCTGCCAGGCAGGATACGCCCACATTTTCGAGAGATGGATAGAGAACAAGCTAACAAGAAAGTGATTTTTCCTACAATCAAGGGCCATAATTCAGGAAATTACAATTCGATATGCGCATATATCGAAAGGAACTGAGATCTTTGTGTTATAAACTTACATTTCAAGTTTCAACAAAATTGGATACAAATTTTGACCTCTAGGAGGGTCCACAACCTTGATATACCATATTTTTACGCTATTGAGAACGAACGGCGGCCATTTTGTCTGTCAATTTTGGGGCGATTTTCACAAAATTCAAACTCAACTGTCCTTAGGGTGGAACGGTAATATAATAATACAGTTTTTTAAATCGGATAAAAATTATGACCTCTGATGGGTCCACAAGCTAAAAACATGATTTTTCGTTCAATCAGGGGCCATAATTCAGGAAGTTACGGTCCGATATGGGCAAATATTGAAAGGAACCGAGATCTTTGGGTTATAAACTTATATTTCAAGTTTCAACAAAATCAAATAAAAATTGTGACCTCTATAGGGTCCACAACCTTGATATACCATATTTTTACGCTATTTGAGAATGAACGGCGGCCATTTTGTCTGTCAATTTTGGGCCGATTTTCATGAAATTCAAACTCAGTCGTCCTTAGGGTGTAACGGTGATATAATAATACGTTTTTTTAAATCGGATAAAAATTATGACCTCTATAGGGTCCACAAGCTAAAAACGCGATTTTTCGTACAATCAGGGGCCATAATTCAGGAAATTACGGTCCGATATGCGCGAATATCGAAAGGAACCGAGATCTTTGGGTTATAGACTTACATTTCAAGTTTCAACAAAATCGGATAAAAATTGTGACCTCTATAGGGTCCACAACCTTGATATACCATTTTCTTACGCTATTTGAGAACGAACGGCGGCCATTTTGTCTGTCAATTTTGGGCCGATTTTCACGAAATTCGAATTCAGTCGTCCCTAGGGTGTAACGGTGATATAATAATACTTTTTTTTAAATCGGGTAAAAATTATGACTTCTATAGGGTCCACAAGCTAAAAACGTGATTTTTCGTACAATCAGGGGTCATAATTCAGGAAGTTACGGTCCGATATGCACGAATATCGACAGGAACCGAGATCTTTGAGTTATAAACTTACATTTCAAGTTTCAACAAAATCGGATAAAAATTGTGACCCCTATAGGGTCCACAACCTTGATATACCATATTCTTACGCTATTTGGGAACGAATGGCGGCCATTTTGTCTGTAAATTTGGGCCGATTTTCACGAAATTCGAACTCAGTCACCCTTAGGGTGTAACGGTGATATAATAGAACGGTTTTTTTTAAATCGGATAAAAAATATGACTTCTATAGGGTCCACAAGCTAAAAACGTGATTTTTCGTACAATCAGGGGCCATAATTCAGGAAGTTAAGGTCCGATATGCACGAATATCGAAAGGAACTGAGATCTTTGGGTTATAAACTTACATTTCAAGTTTCAACAAAATCGGATAAAAATTGTGACCGATTTTCACGAAATTCGAACTCAGTCATCTTTAGGGTGTAACGGTGATATAATTCAGGAAGTTACTGTCCGATATGCGCAAATATCGAAAGGAACTGAGATCTTTGGGTTATAAACTTACATTTCAAGTTTCAACAAAATCGGATAAAAATTGTGACCTCTATAGGGTCCACAAGCTAAAAACGTGATTTTTCGTACAAACATGAAGTTTCGATCCGATACATGCCAATATCGAAAGCAGCCGAGATCTTTTGGGGATAAACCTATATTTCAAGTTTCGTCGAAATCGGATAAGAATTGTGACCTCTAGAGAGTCCACAAACAATTGTGGACGGACGTCCGGACGGACAGGAGCGACGGCATAATACGTCCACGTGAAAATGTGGGCGTATAAAAATTATTCTCGGCATCTTAGGTTAACCCAGAAAGTAGGAAAGGTATGGACCAAGTATTTTTATATCCTTGGGGAAAGGATCCCCGTCAAGATTTAGGACTGGTTAATCGCCCAGTCTTTGTCCAGGGAAGTAACTCGGCCAATGTAACTGGGAGCAAACCACCAATCTTTTTGGCATTGACTTTAATATTTAATTCATGTCACCCTTTTCGACTCCAACTTTTCCCAAAATGTTGGTTTAATTGGATGCTCTTTACCACATACGAGGTGACATTTCGCAATGTTTTGCTCCAACATCGTTATGTAAATGAATATGAACTATCGTACATATAACTATCCGCCTTACATATCACCGTAACCAAGCTAATAACCAAATCAATAGGCCCTAATAGCCTATTCATGCGCGCCGGGGAGGGGAGTGTCTACGGTGCCTGGACCCCCTCCCCACCTCTGAAATGGTGTCCCCTGATAAACGTCATAAATCAACATTGACACCGCGATTTTGGCCAGTTATTCTCGCCCCGTATAGTGCCCCCCCCCCCCCCAAAAAAAAAAAAAATCCTGACAACGGGTCTGCGTTGCTATTGGCATAAAAAATGTATTCACTGCAAAAGAAAAGTCTCTCGGGATTAACACTGTTTACGATATAAGCCTCATTAATCTATTTATCATTTTCATATAAATTTGCAACATCCCCATTCCTCAATTATTTACCCTTCTTTAGGGTTCTCTTAATGCTACACTTGTCCAACTAGTCTGGGCTGTCGGAACAATGGGTTGTTTTTTTTTTCAGCTTTGCGATATACGAAAGCCTTCAACAGAAACCATTCAAGAAAACATTACCCGGGGACATGACATGGTGATGGCTGATAGACTGAAAATCTTTCCTCGCGAAAAAGCGGTAACCAAAAAAAAAAAAAAAAAAAAAAAAAAAATGAGTAACTGGGGACTTTAAAGGTACAATTTCATATTTTCTAAGAAAGTCATAACATAATTATTTCTATGTCTTTTGCTCAATAGGTTGTCAACACACTATACGATCATAGGTTATCTTTCTCACGCTTAAACATCTTCACACCGGAAATAATAACACAATTACCTCTCTTCTTTTCCTATTCCCCACCATGGAATAACTATCTTCAAACGTTTGAATTTGAAGTTGAAAATTATATTTTTGCCAATTTCTCAACTGGCAATAGTGAATTATAGGATTAATAGGATTATTCTTTAACAAGGTAGGACTGTTTATAGATACCATCTATTTTAGGGCTTTATTTTAATACATTTTAAAAATATAACTTAAAAATATGAAATTGTAACTTTAAACTTAGTGCTAGACACACGGAACGAAAAGACACACTTGGTAGTCTACCTCTAAAAACTTCTGCACGCATTCTGTGTAGAATCTACACGAAAACATATCCAGTTAGGATGGATTATTTTAGGAAAATTTTTGAATGCTAGCTGAGATCCTTGACGGGGGGGGGGGGGGGGTAGGGAGTGTATGTCGAGGTTTCAATTCCCCGCTTGTACGTGACAAGAAGTAGGGTCGCCTGTCTAACCTTTTGGTTTTTCTCCGGGTCCTGCGATTTCCTCCCACTGCCAAAGACCCCCGAGCTCAAAATAAAATTTAACCATATGTTAGTCCCGAACTAGTTTTTGTCTAGTGTACGTTAAACCCAATTTCCTCCATTTCTCTCGCGAAAGGGCCACGCAGACGAAGGCGACTAAGTGCTGACTGTCCCACGTTGCATTAAGCGTTAAACCCCCATATTAAATTTGATTACAGCATCAATAACAAACTGTCTTGGGCTTAATTTTGGATTGTGGCTGAACAAAATGTCCATGGTTTCATGTTTTGAATTCGTCATATAAAGGGACAAACAAGCAAAATGCGTCCCCTTTCAGGCGAGGAGGTAAAGAATTCAGTGAACATTAACTGACAATCACACTGTAGGCACAATAGCGACGGAAACTACTAATTTCAGTTTATTGTCAGATCATGATGGAAAATACCATTTCTACAAATATAACAAACAACTCGACTGTAAATTTTTAATATGATTTCTTTTATAATTTTTAGAAATCTATTTTTAAACAAAAATTCTAACAGACGGTAACTCCACCGTTTAAATAAGGAACAAGTGATCTCAAAATCAACATAATTACATAAAAGTCTGATTAACACGAACGATTGATGAGGAACAAAAATATCTTAATAATTGTAAGATTAAAACAATACACTTAAATTGATATTACAAAAGAAACATATCAAATGATAAAGAGCTAAACCTCTTTGAATTAGGTGAAATTGAAGTATGCAATTGGGTTATCTGATGTGTTACTTGATAATAACAATGTGACAAACACTATGCAATTCAACTCTTGTTCTGAATGATTAAACGGGAGTCGGCTTGCTTACACATTTTTGTTGAAATTTGTCTTCCTGTGTCGACAGTGGAACATAGAGATCAGCTATATATCCCAAAACATCTACTAACGTAAAATTTTCAACCTGAACAAAATTCTATTTCTGACCCAAATCAAAGAGGTCTGGCCATTTTAAGACATTAATGATTGACATCTCGTAATAAAAGCAAATACTGTGAGCGCATAATAGTTATAAAAGTCAAGCGGTTTATTTCTTTTCTATGGGTATGTTTCGCGGGGCATCTTCCAAAGCACCAGCCACTGGCCCAGATATGCTTAAAATTCCATCTTTAGACAAGCTTGAAGTTACAGCCTGGGGATCTACGCCCTCGGGAAGGGTGAATTTTCTAGAAAATTCTTGATAGACAGAAGAATTGTCTGTCTTTTCCTCGTGTTTAGCGTGTACACATAGCTCCCTTCCGACGGTTCTGATATCAATTTCCTCGGGTTTAAAATTACTGACATCTAGCTTCAGGTCGAGGGCCTTACTACCGTCATCTTTAGTGCTGACAGGCTGTCTTAAATGCGCCAGCTGCTGCTGTAGACTGCCAATAGGACTAGCAGAAATAGGATCACGCGGTGTTAGTCTCATCATAGCATTTCTCATATCATGCTGCATTCTCATGGCATTTCTATTGATTTCGTCAAAGATGTCATCAAAGTAAAGGTCTTCAGCCAAAAAGGGAATCAAAGCTCGTCCAGCCATGTTTATGGTTACCTGCAAAAATTTGAATATTTTATTTATTTTTAATAATAAAACCCCAAACCAAACAAAGATAACAAAAAACAAAAACAAATAAAAAAAAAAAACAAAAAAAAACAAGCCCAAGTAAACGCGACAAAAGTTGATTTTTAATGTTGACTGTAAACAATTGTTTGAAATGACAATAATGTAAATATATTTCTCAAAATTCTCGACCTATAATTGTTGTTTACTAAAATCGTCGATATAGCCTGTGTCTGTTCTCAAGCGGAGCTTCTTGTTGGCTAAACATTCAGCGTAACATTGACGGGGCCACAACAGAAAAGTGTTGTATGGTAGAATATTGCTTACACAACATCCATAATTCTATCTCTTAATTACTACAAACATAAAATAAATAGCACCATTTTAAAGTGTTTTTTTTTTTTTTAAAATTTGAACTTTTTTTTATAGCAACTAACAAACCAACGTTTTCTTATATTATAGCTGATAATTCAAACTAAAATCGGGAAAATAGCCTAATTTTAGTCGTTGAGATCTTGTCCCATAACTAAATGAAACAAAACATAATGCATAGGTAACGTTTACAAACAAAATTAGTACGCACAATTCCATTGTTATACAAATACATGTACTCTATAGTTACATCTAAATAATATTCAATTTAAAGCCGATGAACGTCATTTGCATTTTTCGGGCAATGTCTAATTTTCATGACTTAATCTTCTCAAATTGATTATCTAACATTTAAAAGCAAACTGATAATATCACGGTAGATAATAATCCAATGAAGATCATTTTTCTATAGCCTGTTGACTGTAATGGAAATAAGAAAACAGCCAAAATAAACCCACCTTGTGTTTTCTGTGAATGAAATCTTTTCAGTCGTTAACTTAAAAATTCCTAGCGTTTGTCTTGGTTGCTTCTTGTGCGACAATTACTGCAGAGTGGTCAGTTGTGTTACGTTTAAACATATATATAGTACTCTGTGTTAAGTCTACAATGTTCCAGTAACGTGCAGACGTTTTGATGCGAATTCAACCAGTCGTAATATTTTGTTTTTAGTCGAGATTGTCAAGATTGGTAATAAAGACGCATTATACCAAGTGATTATCTAACAGTCAAGGCCGTGTCACTATTAGGTCAGGCCAACTGTCTAGAAAAATCTAGAATGAACGCTTGTTTATAAATTTTTACCCGGAAATACAACAATGGGCTAGGATTTAATGATTCGTTGATACAGTACTTTGGTCATTTTGAGACTAACGCATGATATTTTTTGGTTCTATTGTTACATGCAAGATAGAGGGAGGGATTTAGAGAGAGCGAGAGGAAGTTGAACGGGTTTAACGCCTAACTAAGTCAACTCGGGACAAACATGCAGGGTTTAAATGTTTTTCAATAATAATCCTTCTCGCGTATGAGATTTGATAGTCCGGTACAAGTCTAAAACGCGATGCGGTTTTATTGGTTCCACTAGCCTACTGCTGGGCATGATAAATTGGTAGAGAGAGAGAGAGAGAGAGAGAGAGAGGAGGGGGCCTACGGAGTACGGTACTACAACTTTATTTCAACAATTATTAAGCGCAGTATATAATACATATAGCTTGGTTAGAGCTGACATGTCATAAAACCCATTTCAACAATAACTGTGGTCTTTAGCAGAGGAAGAAATACGGAAAACCAGGCGATGATCCCCGGATAATCATAACTGGCTCAATGGCAGACCTTATGATCTAAAGCGCACGCGTCAGTCCACCCGGCAAGACGGCTAAATCCATTTGTTAGGACGCTGAGATGTAAATAAGGTTGGGGCACGTGTTTGTTGGCGAGATTGTAGTTTGGGGATTACATCTCGTGATCTATGAAGAAAAATTGAGTTGGCCTTTTCATTTAGCACTAACCGGGCTACACCCACCCACCATCAGCTGGATATCAATAAATGTTGTTTGTAAGCATTGACTGGGTTGGATATGGCTCAAGTTTGGATTAGGTAGCTAACCATAGCGCTATCGTAGTTAATTTTGCCGATAGATTATTGTTGATAAAACAATGCAACATAAACGCTTTTTTTAAAACTTAAATACAATATGAAAACAATATTTAACCATTATTTTATTTCAAAACATATAGTCCAGGCAAGATGCGGGGGGGGGGGGGGTGTTGCTGCAATGCTGCAATAGAAATGCCGACCTCGGTTTTATGGTCGGTCTAGATTACCAAAAAAAAAAAAAAAAAAAAGTTCTAGTCCGAAATCCGTGCCCAAAAGGATAAAATTGGAAATTGTCAATTTTTATCCAATTATCATAATATCGAGTGAGGCGGGAAAATTCGAATTTTATATAAGGATCAAAATATACGTTTCCGAGGTAGCTGAATTCATTTTTGTGCATATTTTAGTGATTAAGTGATTCCTCTGTGTCAATATAGGAGAAATTCCAATTAGTGATTTAGATTTCCGATTAGGATTGGGAATTAATGATACTCTACCTTAGACCTAATTCAATGACAATCATCCAGTATCAACTAAATGTTGCGGCGTGTGGGTATGTCGACTAAGGCCACTCCCAGGTCATGCGGAAGCTGATCATGCCTATTGAAGCACGCGGTGAATTTAATTCGCAAAATGGTTCAAATTTGAGACGCAGATGGAAATAGTATCGCCTGTTTGTCAGATATGCAGTGAACCATTTGATAATGATCTGCACCGTTTTAAAATAACGGGTATTGGGGGCTTTAATAAGGCGGCTAGGCTGACAAATTATGGTCCTGATTTCAAGCTCGGTGAAAAGTAGCGTGTGGAATGTCTCTACTTTCACTATTGCACAATGTTGTAACACTATTGAAGTGGAAAAATCCTGTACCGGTCTAGACAGTCCGTGGTGCCAAAGTTCATTTTTGCGGACCTTTGTCTTCTGTAAAAAAGACTAGCAGACGGTCCATTACAACAGATGTAAGCGGTGACCGCTGTTACAGGAAATTGACGACTGGACATTAATCTACTTGTATTTTGCAAATTAACGTTGAAGATGGTGTCCCTAAATAGATGACACTCATTAATTACTTGCACATCTAACATATCTATAAAGCATCTAGCATTGAAATTGTGGATATCGCTCGAATCCGATGAAAATTCCTGCCAGGGTGTAAGGATGGTTGCGGGGTCTGGCTATGTGCCATCCCTTCCGAACATGTGCCCTCGACTTTCGACGGAGTTACCTTAAATACTCAAAGAAATGCCCACATTGCCCACCCTTATGAAAACATTGTGCCCTCTTTTTCTGCTCCCTTACCCTGTTCCAACTAAATCCAAAGATATTAAAAATCATTCGCACTCAATGTACGTCCGTTTTGTATGATGATGTAAGAGCCCCATACAAGCTCAAACAGAATAGATTTCACAGCCGGATTAATGTTTCCATAATATTCAGAATCAATTAATTTGTTTTATTTATCTAAATGAATATAGAAAAATTGCAACACGGGCGACGGGAACGTTTTTTGCTGCTTAGCATACTCAATACGCCGCTAACCGTCACCACGAACTCTGTTGACATTTAATCTGTCATCAATAACTTCCATGGCCTCGTTTAAAGTGTTCCTTGATCGTCTTCGCGTTCTTGGGGTTGTCAATCTACTTTCAAGTCTAACCCCTACCCCTCCCCTCATAAGGGAACAGAATCGAATGAAACTTGGCAGGTACCCTTTGTAAGGAATAGCAGTCCCTGTTGATGCTTGTTTTTCTTTACTCACAGGTCGTTTGGCATGCAGCTAACTATATTCATGTTCAGATCTTTAGGACTTAATCATAATCCCTTAACCAAGTGTCAATGTATGGTATGTCATGGCTCACAAAGACGTCAAATCGATTCTATCATGTGGCACAGAACTCAAATTTTCCCGATCATTTTCCCGATCCTACCCCCTCTCCTAAAGTGCCCTAACTTTGGTCTACCAACCTTCATTCGGAGGCCTTAGCTCATTGTCGAACTTAGTCATGACTTTATACCAAGTTTTATTCTGTCCTACTTTTTCTGCCATTGAAATTGTTATCTCCGCTCATTATAGTCGGTCTCCATTTCCTGTTATCTTTGCGTCAAATTCGGAATGAAGGTGTGTAGTTCATTATCAAATGTTTCACTGTATATCGGGATCCATCTGTGTCTCATCGTATGATTCATTTTTCGAAATAAATTCGGTGTGTGCTTTAGTAGGTTTGGCCATCTTGGCTCAATTTTTGAGGTTGGTGATCCAAATTGGACACACCCGCGACGCTGCGTCCACAGTAAGCTGAGAGAGGACTCTTTAGTCATGCCTGCTACGCTGCTTCCGCAGTGAGCAGTTGTCGACCAGAGAGTCTAAATGAAATTTAGTTGATGCTTGATGAATGCAGTAGTGTTAGATCTGAGGCAGACTCGACTACACTTAATCCACAAATCTCCAATGGGATTTCCGTATATTTTGATCCAGGTGAAATAATTAATTACCAAAATAAGAAAATGTGTCGAAAATGGAATCAGCTGCCTCCAAAACGTATATTTTGACACCAAAAATCCGAAACTGACCGCCATCTGGAATTATGTCCCAATATTGACTCCACTGTATAACTAAACACCAAAATGTGCATGGGAATGGATTCAGCTACCCCGAGAAGATATATTTTGAAACCAAACTCAATCATAATATGATAATTGGATGAAAATTGACATTTTCCAGTCTAAACTGGCGGCCATTATCAGAACATTATATCGATATGTAAAGGTTTCATTTACATCACCATACATATAATTATGTCGTATTCCGTTTAATAATAAAACACTTTGCAGTTTTATAAACGTAAAGAGTTTTTTTGATAACGGAGCCTCCACCCAAAAAGTTCAAATGTCCTTGACCTTACGCTAATAGCAATGAGCAAAACGTTATTTCAAAATACAAATTTTTAAATATATAATTCAAACAACGACTGAATATATATCAGAATACAAAAAAATGTGTCATTACGTTCAAATTAGGCCTACGATTTAAAGCGATTCGAAAAGGATGCTTTCCTAAAATATGTTATAAAATAATCATCATACGCGATCACCTTACATGGGAATGGGTTAATACTTTAAACAAACGCATGTACCTGATTGGGAACCGAAAATCTGGTTAGTAGAATGCTTTATTGTGGCACCGCTTGTGATTGACGAGCTGCCTTGACCGTCTGTCAGGTGAAAATGTTTTTTAACTCCTTTTTGCATGGGAAGTAACTCTACTTAACGAAAATAGTTTTTTATTACGACATAACGCCGGTTCCAGTAACCTTCATTTTAATGAGTTTGGGTATAAAATCAATTTACAAATCTTTCAATGTTGATAGATTGCTTTTCAAACCGCAAATAAAAAGGATACACACAACAACAACAATTGTATGTTCGACAGCACTGAGCACACATCGATCTGTCGCCTGTTAGACTGTAAAATATATTAAGGAAAATCTTTAAATCAAAATACATCAACATACTAGGTGGACATATTATTGCATTCTGAACATGAGAGACATATGGTGGCTGATTGGTATCATGTCGTAATGTCGTGATGTCGCCTTTCATAACGCGACAACCCGACAAACCGACATCACGACATTTCTACCCGACATCACGACAACCCGACAACCCGACATCACGATATTTCTACCGACATCACGACATTTTTACCCGACATCACGACACTAAAAATGTCGTAATGTCGATCGGGTAAAAATGTCGTGGTGTCGGGTTGTCGTGGTGTCGGGTTGTCGTGATGTCGGGTTGTCGGGTTGTCGAGTTGTCGACTTCCATGATCAATGTTATAAGCGGCCACGATGATATTCATAACAAAAAACTGGCAATTAAGAAAATGGTTGATCAAGTGGAAGTAGATTCATACTCACCATAGGCGTACGAGGCGGGGGGGGGGGGAGGGCACCGCCCCCCCCCCCCCCAAATATTTTCATGAAAAAAAATAGAAATCTGAAAAGAGCTCAGAATTGTGAGATCTTGTGAGATCGGTCATTAGCCGAGGAGTTGTTGAAAATGGGGTAGGGGTAGGGGTATGGCCTTGTCGGGGAAGGCTATGGTCTTGTCGGGAATGAATGCTCAGTTTGTCGGGAAGCGTCGC